GCTTCTAACTTTTAATAAAAATATACTAAAGTGTGGGAGAGTCAAAATCTAAAGTAAAAGGATACTAATAAAATCATGAATAAATCAGAGAATGATTCAACAAGAGAAAATTTAACTAGGGGCCTGTGCATAAAACAATTCTTTGTGGCTCTGTCATCCAAAGGAAATACTCCATTGTAGCTCTGCTAAAACAATGAGTCTTTTTTTTAAAATGTGCAGGATCCCATCATCTCATTTATTTCAATCCCTCGATTAATATGTAGTTCCTTCATTTTTTGTGGCCCCTGTCATTGGAGGGCAAAAATAACCAAACCCAAGGAAATTTAAATTGTATAGAGAAGGATGCAGAGGAACATCTGAGATTCGAGAGTCTGAGGGAGCTCATGGAGTCCGAGGTTGTAATACACAGGCCTTGAAGAAGTATGGAAGCTGAAAAGGAGCCAAAAAATTTAGGAGGGAGCTGGGAACAGGCAACCTAGAACTGGAGCGTTCCATGGCTGAGACAAGGCTCAGGGTTCTGGACCTATGTAGTTGAGGGTTTTCTGAGCAAAGAAGTGAGTTACATCATGTCTAGCCACAGGAAAGTGAAGGCAGAGAGCAGTGGAACAAGCCACAGAGGCTGCCTCAAATCCAGTGAGGTGAGAGTGGAAACACTGTCCTTGGCAGATGTTGTCAATTTGATTTCTATGTATTCCATCTGGTGAGTTCCATGTGTATAGTTGTCTCTTATGCTGTCTAAAGAAGGTATTTGAAATGAACAAATCATTGGTTTTATAGAATTCTATTATGCGTTCTCCAGCATCATTTCTATCACCAAGGCCCTATTTTCCAGGTATTGATTCTTCCTTTTTGCTCGCAACCTTTGCATTCCAATCACCAGTAATAATCAATACATCTTGATTGCATGTTTGATCAATTTCAGATTGAAGAAGCTGATAGAATTCTTCTATTTCATCCTCACTGGCTTTAATGGTTGGTGTGTAAATTTGAATAATAGTGGTATTAAATGGACTTCCTAGGAGGGTTGAAAAAGAAAAGATAACAGAAAAGACTAAGAAATGAAAAACAGAAAGACGGGGAAAAATAAAAGAGAAACAGAATAAAATGGAAAAACAAGGCAAACCACAGGAAGAAGAAAAATATAAAACAAGGGATGAAAAGGATGGAAAAAGCGGGGGGGCGACAACTGGGGTGGGTATAGCAGGGTTCAGGAAGGACAAAAGTGGGTGCAGGGCACAGAGTACCCAGGAAAGTTCCTCCCAGCCGAGAAGGCCATGGGGGAAGTCACCTGGTCCTGGGTGATTTTCCTGCCAACCAGGAAAGTGCCTGTGGTCAGGACATCTGATACTGGAAGGAGCTCTTGCCAACTCAGAGGGCAGCTGGGTCAGTGTGCCTGGTTCTGATATGAGTTTTTAGCCCACAGCTTCATTGCTGTTTTCCCTCCACTTCCCCTTATCAGTAGACCAATGTGGTCACCAGCAAGATTACATGCCTGCTCAAGTATTCCTTTTGAATTTCAGTCTTGGAGGGGGGGTTTACCCTGAGGGGACTTGATTGCTTGCCTTGATGGCTCCCCAGCAGACAACTTGCTTGTTCTTGTAGTAATCAATCACACTGTCATTGTTTTTTTATTTTTATCTGCTGGTCTTTCTTTCAAGAAGTATCTTCTGTTCCTTTAGTTGCTCCAGGCTGGTCTGGGAACCAAGATTTATAAGGCAGTCAAACATCTTAATGTTGTTAAGTGCCATCGAGTTGGTTCCAACCAATAACGACCATGAATAGGGTTCTGAGGAGCAGCTGGTGAGCTTGAACTGTGCCAACCTTGCAGTTCAAACAGCTTTGCAGTCTGACACATTTACCCACAGCATCACACCAAGACATTATTTCCCCTCTTTTGCCCATTCAAACTATGCCTTAATCCCTGTATCACCGAGCCCTGTTGTTCCAGGGTTGAGCATACATCAGTATTTACCTCTGTCCCATTTAGCCCATGCAAACCTGCCTAAATGTTCTTCTATCTGCCTTATTCTTTCATTTCCCTCCACTACTTGTGTATTGCCCCCCAACATTCAAACTATCATGTCTATTCCCTACACTGTGCTCTACCTTCCCCTCTGCCCCCTTGCCCCACACCCTACACCCCCAGTAACCAGCAAATAATTTTTTTT